ACCGGTGCAGAAAAAAATGTAAAAAAAACTCGCTGTATGAGACAAATTGCTGTTTGTACAATATAGGTTCTTTATGTTATTTACAGTTTGCACCTTTTTTTGTTTGTTTGTTTTTAATATTCAGCATGTTTTTTCTTTCTGTTAGAAAATGGTGGAATGTTGTCATGTTCATAAACTGTGCCAATAATTGCGACAATCTGTGTCATAATAATAAATAATATATATTTTGCTGATTTAAATACAGCAAAAAAGTGCAACTGTAAAAAGAACAAATTCGTTATTTATCAAAGTAAAAAATATTTTGATGGGGACATTATTTACAATTTTGACCCTTTTTTTTTTTTTTCAAATGTCGGCATGTAAATGAATTCCTTTTTTATCTGTGATTGTAAAATAACAGTTAAATTAATATTTATATACATAATTAGACACATTTTTATTTTAAATAACAGCAGATATATGTAAGATTAGTATATTTTTGCTAATTAATTAGTTAATTTAATTAGTTCATTTAAGAGTCAAAATTTGTAAAAGAAAGAATTTTTATATAAAAGCAGATTTTTTTATGACATTATTTACTTTTTTTACAGCTAACATGCAAGTAATAACTTTTTTTTTTTTTTTTTTTACATTTTCTGTGTTTTAACTCGTTGTGACGTGTAATTGAACAAAACAGAAAAAAATGTAAAATACCTTTAAAATGTAAAAAACAAAAGAAACAAACAAAAAAAGTAAAAACAAAAAAAATGTTTTATTATTCCAACCTGCACACAGTTCCACTGAAATGAAATAAAATGAAATGAAATGAAATGAAATGAAATGAAATGAAATGAAATAGCAACTCAGGAAAAAATAAAAAAAAGCTTTTCACACACCTGCTGTATACGATGACTGAACTCTGTCTTTGCACTGAGCTTATTGACTTTTATTCAGCCAGTAGGAAATATATATAAATATATGTTTGTATGGATTTGAGTAGCAGATATAATGTAGGCTCTATAGAAACATGTACAGGTATATATATATATATATATATGTGTGTGTTTAATTTGTGTTAAAGCTGATGAACAATGTGAATAAAGTTTATTTTGCTTTATGCTCGAGAACCTGTTGTTTTTAATAATAATACCTGCGCTGTCCTCTGGAGGGCGCCAGATCATCGACCGGCTTCCACAGATAAACGATTCAGAGCCGCTCCGAAGCTGGAAACTTAACTCCAGAGTCACTCAGCACCAAAACCAGACCGGCTATCGAGCCTAAATGTTGCTCATCTCATTCAAATGATATTCAAAGAAGCTCGTCACACAGTTTGTACAGATTGTGGTGCTTCTAGCTGTAATGTTGAAGGTTCGTCTCGACTGACTTTTAGAAAAGGCCTTTCGTTCCCAGGCCGCCCTCCTGACAGGATGACTGATGGGAGTTCAGTGCAGAGGAGCTGAGGGCCGGGACTGCAGCCCCAAGGGCACCCACAGCCGGCTAATTGATAAATTCATTATGACCGTCTGGCAGCAGCAGCAGCAGCAGCAGCACAGATAAGCTTCAGCAGACAGTCAGTCACACACAATACTGGACTTCTGCTTCTGCACCACTTGTTTTCTCCTGATTTCAGATTGCAGAAGGATTTTTTTTCGTCTGGAGAAAGTGCTTTCGTGGCAGTTTCACTACTTATTTCATCAAACGATAAATCATCGACTCACGAGCTGTGAGAACACAGTGACGGACGAAGACCTCAGAGTTCCTGCTTTAAGTACCAAGTGTTTGTTTTACGCTCAAACCGGGTCACGTTTCTCACAGCGAGTCTCTCACCGTGTGAACATTAAACATGAAAAATGAATTTAAAAAAACATCTGGGAAAGAAACTGNTTAAAGAACTGTTTGTGGTTCATTGCTAAAAGATAAAAGGATTATTTTATGGCGTCACTTTTGTTTCTAGTCTTTACGTTCTCTGCTGTCCATCACTCATATTTTTTACCCAAACCTTGATAAATGTCGTGTTTGCAGCGTTTCTATGAAAGCTTTTCATGAACTTCCCGTTAAGGTCACATCGATGAAGGTGGAACACAAGCCGGACAAGAAGACAAAGGTGACTTCCTGCTTCGGGCTCATTTTAAATTCAGTCGATTTAAATATAAACTCGGGACAGTTTTAGAGGTAAAGTTGCTGCTTATGGCTGCACCACGACTGCAGAGAAATAAACCGATGTTTGGTGTTGTGTTTGGACCCAGATGTTTCCAGGACGGTTGCTAACTCGCTGTGGACAGACTGATACAAACCACTGGAGCGTATTATGAGAAAAACTGGAGCAGCACTTCCAGAAGTGTTGAAAATGATCCCGGAGCTCCGGAGATTTGACTTTAACTGTCCAGAGACAAGAGAGGAGGAGCTGGGAGTCCCCGGTGGAGACAGGAGGGGACGACCGACCGGACGTTAACTCTGAGAGACACCACAGAAGAAGAAGAAGAAGAAGATTATAGAACATGTGAATAATCTGCCAACCTGTCAGTTCATTTAGCAGAAGGTGGAAGAAACTGGAAACGTACATGGATGTAATAAAACAATCAAATATTCTGTTTGAATCACCAACACGTCATAATTGTTCGTTTGTGATAAAATAATAATAATTAATAATAAAAACAATCCTAATTCAGTTCATCTCTCTGAACATCACAAACAAACAAAACCAAAGAGACGAAAACGATCAACTGGTCAAAATGAAAATAACTGGAAACTCACATCCTGACCGATGGATCATTTCTGTTAAAAGTGCTGCTCCACAGGTTTATTGATCGTTTATGTCAGAGTGTGCATCGTGTCCAGGTGGAGCTTCATCGAGCTGCACTCGTTCATGGATGTTGTGTAAATGTGTGACCACAACATTGTCAATACAACCCGGCAGCGACGTCCAGATGTGCATCGAGACAGTCGGCGTCTGGCCTTCGTCTTCCACACAGAGGACGACTTCACAAACCAGCAGCATCATGAAACTCTCCCTTTATTTAGACTCTCTGAGGGAAAGCATCGCGTCCGTTTGGCCGACGTACAGCGTCTCAGACGTCAGTACCGGCTGAGCACATCTCCAGTGTTGTGGTTACAGTTACTCCCAATCAATCGGAGCGTTTGCCATTTTGCTCTGGGCACCGTCCTGACAACGAGGAGAACAAAAGAGCGGGGAGGAGGCGACCCGAACAAATCAAACATTTGCATACACAAGCCTTCTCCTCCTGGTGTGTCGGTTTCTGTCGGCTGCACCTGGCTGAGGAATCCCGACCGCAGAAACCAGCGGCGCGTTCGCTGGATCTTATGCAGGATTATGAACTCTCTGCTGCAGTCTGACACCATGTTTTGTGTAGCTGTGCTCGAACACGAAGCAGAAATCGCTGCAATTTATGAGACGGATCCGTACATGCAGGAGGAGGGAAGGAGCAGCAGAGAGATGGAGCACATTCAGTCCGGTTGTTTCCTAATTAGTCTTCTGCAGCTTCTTTTCTTTTTATGCTTCTGTTGCATTTTTAGTCACTGTGGGCTGCAAAATAAAATCCTGCACCTCTATGGAAACAGAACAACCACGACTAGAAGCAGAAATACCTCAGAAACATCTAGGGAGGGGAAAATGACATAAATATCTAATTATTTACATTTTTATTTGTTTCCATACTTGTTGCTCTGTGTAAACACTGCCTGCAGTTCAGCCACGGCTGCCCAAAAACTCCCTGAATTTTAGTTAAATCACAGTTCATCACAGCAGATTCACTCATAGCTCCACAGATGCATCATGAAGCACAGAATTTTTTGTTTTTTACAGAATCTGGTTAGTGCAAAGTCTTTATTTGTGGTGATTTTTTAAAACTGGCACATGTTGATTTTAAAGAATTCTCACGATATTTTAGCTTTTTTTTCCCCAACAAAGGTCAAAGGTCACACAATTAGTTCATGGAGCATCTAAAAGTCTATATTTTTACATTTTTTTCTGCTTTTACAGTTTTTTTCTTTGAAAATTNTTTCTTGTTTTCTTTTGTTGTTTTTTACAGTGCGCTGCTGTGACAGCATGGGAAACTAGAACAACGTTTGCTCCCCAACTGCCATTTTTCTTGCTGCAAACACAACAAAAGCTGAACTAAGACACACAGATGACAAGTTTTCTTAACTCCAACAGCGACTCGCTTCCACGTGAGTAATGACTCCGGAGCTGATCCACGTTCTTGGCGCTCCGACTCGCAGGTTTTCCCGCTCGTGACGTCTGAACGCTGCACCAACTCGTCAGTGACGACTGGAAAGAAAAAAAAAAAGAAGAATCCTGCTTTTATCCTTTTACCTGGATCGGCCGCCCACGCAGGCAAACATTCAAACATTATTCTTGATTTATTCTCATTTTTCATGCAGGATGAAGCCACATGAAGGCAGAACACACGTGAGCCTGAACACGCTTTAAGTCGAAGGCTTTCTGTTTTTAGAGGTCAGGATTTCTCTTTTTGTTTTTAGTGGCTGTGGAAGCAAACAAGTCATTGCTGGTTGTGTTTGTGTGTGATTTTATCCCCCCTCCTCCCCTCCACAAATTCCTGCATCTTT